TATATATATATATTTAATTGGAAGTATATTTTGAGTGAAATCACCCTTTAAAACTACGTCGCGCACCCCAACTAGAAGCCGTGCACTTATACGGCCGTAGCAGACGAGTCCAGCCTCTCCGTGCAGCCCTCTACCAGCAGCCTGTACATGGGCCAAGAGCGGCTATTAGTGGTACTATTATTTAATACCAGGTTTTGGTAATTTAACCTTTAAATTGCAGCTTAATGTTGCTGTGTCATTGTGATCTGTTCTAAATATGTGAATGGCACTGAGTGCACACTGTAGTCTGATTGCAGCTCAAATAAAGCAGCTACAGTTTCACTGTGAGACATGCTTTTGGCTATTTTTCTGTTTCTTAGAAAAGCAAAATCTCTGCTTTAGTAGTATGAGGCTTTTGATAAAGCCATTTTAAACAAATGTATCCATGCAAATAAGGTATTTCCGAAGAAGTTTAGGAGGAGAGATGGTATCGGTATCGGCAGTTTGTTGTATTGCTGCTACTTTCCTGTGAAAATGTTATTGTAAATTTAACTGCAACTAAATTGCTTAAAAGCTTTTTTATTTTTTTATTTTTTTAAATCCAATTTATTTTTTCAACAATATTACGACATTTTGATTCCGGTTCGGCTCTTTAAACACTCGTCCAGTTGCTGTGTTGCACATGACACAGTGGTTTCTTTTTTTTTGCTTATTTGAACTGCTCCTGTGTCTTACTACCCACTGATCAGCTGATTCCACTTTTCAACATGATGCTCGTCCACCTGAAGCCCACCAATGTCGTCACAGGACAGATGTGTTATTGTAAAGACAGTCATGGAGTTTGTAAGGCTCCGTGTTGCTGATCTGAGATTCTGTTTCTGGGCTTCAAGTGATGTAAAACTGAAGTTTCCTGCCTGACTGATTTACTCATCGCTGATTCCACTGCTTCACCAAGAAATACAGGTATGTGTGTTGTTTGTATATTTAAATCAGCTCTAATGCTGCATGTTAGTGTCTTGGCATCTGCTCCAGGCTAATTTCTACTCTTATCTCCTCTATTTGCTGTTCTAGTAAATGTGATTGAAATCTTTGTGGTGGCTGAAGGAGGTCTTTACTCTGCATGTGGCTGTGTTTAATTCCTCTGATTGTATCTCGCTGACTGGACTCGTGTTTCTGTATCTTTGCTCAGAGTCAAACTGGTGTGCAGCAGTACAGAAAATTGAAAGAAATCAAGAAAAAAGACAGACAAAGTGAGAGAAGAGGGGACTGCATATGCTTTGTTTATTTCAAAGATGAAAGAGAGTATAAAATACCAACAACTTCTTTGTGACCTTGTGAGACATGTTCTGTGCTGTGTTCAACTGTTGTTGAATTGCAAGTGGATTTTGACACCAGATGAAAGTCAGCTCTTTCCCTTGTTTACTGGTTGGCGCCTTTTGCTGCGTCGAACATCTTCTTGCGGCCCTCCATGCCGGACATGGCCTCCACGTTCTTCCTCCAGTCGCTCACCTCCACCGTCTTCTCCTGCAGCGTGTAGATATTAGTGATATTTATCAGTGTCTTAGTCGCCTGAGAGTCATGCTGAGGTGATGGAGATGTGATTCAGGGAGAAGGATGTCTGAAATTTCTTTTATTTTCGTGTTTGGTCAAAGTTGATCTTTCACCTATTAAACCTCTACAATAAGATCAATAAGAGCAACGGGAGTAAATATTACTCTGTATCACTGTCTTTTGTCCACAAGCAACTCCTTTTGTCTATGACTTGCTTGTCTCTGCCCTGAACCCACCTTCTCCGTGTCCTCCTTCTTGACCGATTTGAGGTTAGCTCGCAGATCCAAGGAAACCTTGTGTTTGGAGCCCAGTAGGGAGCGCAGGATGGCGTCAGCAGAGACCCTCACCCTCCTCAGGTTGGGCCTTTTGAACTTCCCTCGCAAGTCCAGCACCTTGATGTTCAGGTCTTTGATCTGCGGGGAAAGTAGAGAGTAGTTTGTCATGTCCTGTCGAGCCTTTACATTTTGGCTAAACTGCGAAGACACGCCGTGAAGCGCTTGTCGGAGCACATCAGTGCACCGCTGCAGCTTTGAATGTGTCTATTTGCCGTTTGATTTGCTGTTTTGTTACCTCTCTGGTGTTGTGCAAGACTTTGGCTTCAATATCGTACCGCTCCTCGTCCACCACATCTATTTTGGCGTGCAGCTCTTCACATAATGTCTGTGTGGGAAATAAGAGATGTTAGATAACAGTTAGTTTTATGATAATATCACTCCCTAAATAACTGAGCTCTCTGACAGCTTTGTTCCAGCAGATAAAGGAAGGATGAACAAAACATCGGCTAACGTAATCTAGTACCTGTAAGTCTGCTAGCGACATGCTGCTGGTTTGTATTGGAGGAGCCTTTTCATTCAGGTACATTGCTTTCTGCTCCTCTTTCTCTTCCATCTCCTGCTCCAACTCCTCTTTGGCTTTTGCAACCATCAAGCTCTAAAACACAAAGCAAATGAAAGTGTTTGATTTACCGTCTTTCTGGCTGAAGATGCTGTCGGTGTAAATGCTGCGGAGGACTCACCTTCAGCATGAGCTTGCGAGAAGCTGAGATTTTAGATTTCCTCTGCAAAAAGCACATCATTTTAACTGATAGTGTTACATTTTATCAGCCACTCTTGATGTAAGTGCCTGTCTTTGACGTATTGAGTAGCCTCTTATTAAATCTTACCTCTGGTCTGTGGATAGAAAAAGACACCAAAGAAACAGAAAATTAATATCAGCAATCAGTTTTTGATAGCAAGAATTTCGAATAAATTGCCACTTACAGCTACTATTATCATCCTTTATTTGTGTTTCTATTTATACATCCCACTTACTTACTGTATGAAACTGATACTCTCACTGGGAAATAGAAAGGATAATGGAAACACAATACACTTACGCTTTCTCAGGCATCTTGGGTATTTCAATTCCCCCTGGAAGACAAAAATAAAACATTTTGCCTCTGAAGTGCTGGACAGCAGGGACCACTTGGGTCTAGAGCCCCAATTGGTCTTAACTATAGTTTCCATTTTAGCTCCACATGCATTCATTCCACCACAGTCAGCTGTGCAGAGCTACAAGAGTGGAAACACACATATAGATCTTTCATCACAGGTTGCTCCTCAATTACTTTTATTATTCTTTAGCATCAAGAATGGCTCATCGATTATTTATGAAATCATTAATGGACAAGACTTTCTGTATTTTATACATCAATCACTTTTATCAGTCATTGTTTCATGGCACTCATTGGTCCTGATGGACAAAATCATCCAGTCGCCTCCCGTCGTTGATAACACCCCCCCTGCCAAAAAACTAAGTGATGGCAGACGAAGAGAAGCATGCAAAGCCCCCCATCACAGCAGCTACACCAGAGAGATAACATTTCCTGCTTTCACCCTCACTTTTCTGCCGGCTAAAGACACAAATATAGACCAGGCCCCGAAATGTCAGAACACTGTTGACATACTTTTTTTTTTTTGCTTTATCTTGCCCAATTGACTTTATTAAGGAACTGGCCAAATTGTAAATGTTAAAAAGAGGAGAAAACAGGAGGATGACATACACATCCTCTGCATGCTGATTGTGTTTGAGATTGTTTAGTAATGCATCCTATTATCTTCATTATAAATTAATCTGAATATTATCTTTTTGAAATAATTTCTTGGTTGAAAATGTCAACTTTCTTGTTTTGTCTAACAATATTTCAAACTACAAAAGATATTCAGTTTACTGTCACACAAGACAAAGAAAAGTAGAAAGTTGTCCCAATTTAGAACAAGAACAAAGACATGTTTTGCAATCATCTTTAAAAAAATTTTTGATAAGAAAATAAGAATTAATTGTCAAACTAGCTTCAGATTGCAATTTATCGATAGACAATGCTGCAAATCAATAAACAAGACTGCTATATGGTAGCATTTTTTTTAAATACAGAGAGTGATTTTTACATCAATGCAATCAAGTATTGGGATTTGTTTGCTGAATAAGCCAGAAAACAACATTCATGTCTGATTATTTGGTGATATTTATCCAAACACCGATACAAAGTCTTGAGATGTTAAGTATTACTGCAACATCGAACTGCTGTGACAGATGATTTTTTTCAAACTTGTTATATAGTTAGATTATGGTGGAACAATGTGATTTTTAATCCTGTCTCATTTAGAGATGAGTTAATTGTTATGTAGCCTTATAGATCAAGTTATTATCAAGAAAACGCTCTAGATTCATTTACATTGAAAATAACTGTGAGTTATGTTGTTGTTTGGTCGTCACAAATACCAACTATTTATTTTATGTCTAATAGCTATGTCAATTTTTCAAGTAAAGAACAATTTTCAGACCATCACAGTCGGTGGACTGCGGGGGAAAAAGTCCAAGGGAGACGTATTACAGCCTCATTTCTCAGAAGTAACATTTATTGTAACGACAGTGCGAGCTCTTACCTTTCTGTGCCGATGCTGTGGATGCAGACAGACACAAAGTGATGGAGAGAAGAACACACTAGAATATTTATCTCCTGCTCCCCTTTGTCCCTCCTCTCTATCACAAGGAGGCTTAAATAGAAAAACACACACACCATGAGGAGGAGGAGGAGGAGGAGGAGGAGGGTGGTGGTCTCCGGATAACAGTGATTGTGCTGCTCATGTTGTGTTGACAGATCACTGCTCCTCTGTTCTTTTTAATAATGTGTGTGAACTTCTCTGTGTGCCAGGACAGGATGAACAACATCCTTGTCGACTTTCACTTCAGCAGTTTTCAGTCAGTTGTTAATCTGGTTTCCCTCTTTTACACGAGGGAACTATGTCGAACTCTATAGGCGGGATCATCTCTTCTCTTTTGTTTACGCTTACAGACGGCCGCCATGCATGCAGAAACGTCCGGTTACAGCCCCTTTGAGGCAAATGTAAAGCAGCCAGCAGTTTGTCTTGTTACTGTAGATGAATTTCTGAGATTTTCTGTGGCTACTGAGAGTGATGTTGGCGACATGCCCCGTCCCCTCTGAGACTGCGGGGCCCCCCTTGGTCTGATTAGGATAATGGCCGCAGACAATGCTAAGCCTTGGTTTTAAGGCAGGAATGCAGTTTCCAGCGTGCATTTGGCAAAGGCCTCACAACTAAACATAGACAAATTGCAGCACCATGTGATGCTGCCAGTCTCTTTGATACTGGGTCTCAGCTTGCATATGTGTGCAGGCTTCGGGGGGGCGCGTTGTGTGCACTTGGTGTGGAAAGCTAAATGCACATACAGATGCATGTGTCTGTGTGTGTGTGTGTGTGTGAACACTTGTCCAACTGCTAGATTCACCCATGCAAGGACAGTAAGTCCTGAAATTAATCCATGAAATCACTTGTGTCTGGGCTGTGTTTGTGTTACAGATCTAATCTTTAGTTTGTGCAGCAGTGATGCAGACTCAGAAGTCCAGTTTGAAAGTTGATCATATGCACTCTAGAAAGTAGTTGAAGGGATCGTTTTCCCACCACTAATTAAATGCATGGATACAAGAAGAAAATCTAATTTACTGATGTAGATAAAACTTTGATGTTGATGGGTAGGATTGACAAGACAATGTATTAATTGCACCAATGCAATATTTTGTGTAATTGAATATATATATATATATATATATTTCTGCATTAATTGATTGAAAACGAAATTCAAGTTGTAGTAACTTGAAAAAAAAAAAGGCTTGATAATTATTTTTTTCACCTTGAGTTTAGGATTTTTAATAAATAGGCCTGGAGAATTTCAGATGTTAAAACAGTGTGTCAGAGGAAAAAATAAGATAAAAATGACATTTCAAGGTGAGTGTCCTATGATTTAAGAATACATTCTGCTAAAGATTAGAATTTGCCAACATTTTCAGTTGTGATATGGCCAACAGTGAACTTGTGTACAGAGTTCAGGCTGAACCTACGGATACAGCTGATGGATAATGTTGTACTGGTGCTAGTGATATTTAGCAGTGAGGTTACTCTGCATTTCTTTTGACACATCTGCTCAGCTGCAGAGGACTTTTCATGTTTATTTCTAACTTGTGGGAAAATTAAGTTTTTATTTATTTATTTTGTTCTTTTAAGGTTGAAATGCACAACTGGAGTTTGAGATTTTTGAAACAACAACAAAAAAAAAAACCAACAATTGTATTGTTGAATGAATTTATTTCTTTAAAGCGACTACAGGGACAAAAATTTGAAAAAAGTGAAAAACTACTGAAGAAAATCTAACTGGAGTTGGTTCATTTTTAAAATATTTCTCATCTTGAAAACTTGTGTTCATAATTATGGTAATTATGCACATAACACAGATATTTGTTTAAAGTAATGTGAAAAACCTGATCCAATCAGCTTAGACACACCGGTGTTTATTCTACCAGCCATTAAACAATGGAAAATACCTTTAATTTTAGAGAGAAAAAAACCCATTTACCTTCCCTCAGTGGAGTTTGTTGGATCATCATTATTTCATTAGAAGTTGTTACAACTCAAAAAGATTGATGCAAACTGTTGTTTTTTGTTTTGTTTTTTATAAGTTTTTTTGAGTGTACTTAGTGATACTGCTTCAGTTTATGCTGCAGCTTTAATCTCAAAGTAACCCACAAACACACAGACATACAGACGGACGTTACCATCTGCAGAGCCTAAGATTTGCAGCTGCAAATTATTAACAGCCTAGTTCTGCTGGAACACAAGCGCCACCTGTTGGCACCATGGGACCAGAGCGAATAAAGTGTGTTGTTTCCACAGACGCTGTCAATACTGTCTAATTGATTAGCTGTGAGCAGGAGCCACAGCAACCAGACGGCACAGACACTGGCTACCAGGAGCTTGTGGTGTCATCTTCTGCTGACGGTGGACGCAGTTAGCAGCAGTGGGTTAACTAGACAGTTGTCTCATGAGCTTCATGACGCCATAATGACCTGCTGGGCCACTAAATCCTGCTTCCAGTTTCTTATATACATAGAGAATGTCTTTTTCAAGCTCACAACACAAATAGAATAGAATAGAATAAAACTTTATTGATCCCTTTGCTATCAACCTCAGGGAAATTGTTGTAATAAATAACTTGTTGTTGTAAATAGATCTCAGTTTCAACTAGTGATGACTCTATAGTGAAATAAATCCATGGATACCAGTGTCTTTTTCGCTGAGTCAGCAATCGCTCCTTGATTCTGACGTGATTTCTGACTCTCAGTGTCTGAGCTGTTGGCTCATGGAAACTGATTACAATTCCACAGTGTATATATATATATATATATATGGCAGCAGGATTAGCAAAGTGCTCCGTGTTTGCACTGTCTCCAGGAAACTCTACACTGAGTCATGCGTTCACATGCCAGGGGATTATAAAACAGTTCACAGTACAGTAGTCCTCAGATGAGACACTTTGCCGTGAAGTGTATTATTTAAATCTCTGTTGGGCAGAAGACTTTTAAAATCTGAACTGCATCGTGCAGGTTTAAGCAGCAGCTGCTCTTTAAAAAAAATGTGCTAATGTAAAGTCTGATATGAAACTATCTCATTAAGAATCACAATATAAATTCCTGAAATCCAGGCTGCATATCTCAGATGTTCCTTTGAAATAATTCTGTGTTGCTGCTGTAGGTAAGTTTAGGAAATGCTAAGAGTACAACAGCGCTTCAACATGGGAGAAATCCAAAGTTTGACAAAGTTCCCTGCATAGATAATATGAAATGTCAAAGCGATGCAGTGGTACTTGGTATACTGAAATTATTATTAGCTTTATTTTGAAAGATTTTTTTGAAATTAATTCTTCATGTGACCTGATCATGCACTGTAAGTTCAGACTTCTCTGTTGCCCTCTGGTGAGCTACAGGCATCAGCAGTGTTTTGAAGCTTATTGCAGGTTATTTAATATAGAATATAGTAATCAAAGGATATGGACATTTTTGTTCCGCTTATTCATTATGAATCTAAACACATTAAAGCTCTGAAACAGACCCAAGGTCATAAGTGTAATACTTTCATCTTTGCATGGGTTTCTGGCACGGTTTAGCCGTTGATGTGACTCACACATGTTGCAGTCGGTGCCAAAGCAAACAGCTGCCCTTCTCCTCCTCCTCCTCCTCCGCCCCTCCACCACCACCACAGCTGCCTGGCACTCCGGCCCGATGTGCCAACTCCTCGGCACAGCCAGAGACGGGGCTGAACACTACGACTCTGTTGTCCACCACAACAGCTGGCAGTTTGCTCAGTTTGATGATGATTAGGAGGAATAACAAGCACACCCAAGAAGAGCACATACACACACTGATTTCATCACATCACAACCACAGAAAAAAACAACAGCCATTGTGTAAAGCTGTCAAAGTCTGCATCACAAGAAATAACAAAACTCCCATTGTGTGCTTTCTGCATGATATTTATTTTGGGTCACGCCAAAAAAAGAAGCATATCTCAAGACAATATATACACCATTTGACGTAAAAGAAGGCTTTATGTTAACTGAATGACTGACTGGAAGAGAAGCAGGATTTGAGGTTGTTTTATTTCACAGCTGTTCGACTGTTTTTTTTTGTTTTTGTTTTTTTAGATGTTAATCAAACTCAGCACTTACCAATGTGTTTGTCTTTTAGTATTGAAAATGCCCAGTTTAGTAACTGCTTGGTTTAAACACACAGTGCACACATGTTAAGACAGAGTTAGATTTTAGCGTTTTTAAATGTTTACACCGGATTCTAATGCACCGTGACCTAAAGAGCAGAATCTGTTTGGATGAACACGTGCAAAAACCTACATGTTGTGTTGCTTCTGTAATTTCTCATGGCCTGTGGCTGGAGTATAAATGGCAGTGCAAAATAGGGTAGATATTGACTGAAAGATGCTGGAAGCCATGGTATCGGAGCGCACCAGATGTCAGTCCCAGGTGGGCTCAGGCCTCCGGCTTCAGGCTTCACTGGGCGTGAGATAGGGCTCCTGCACCCTGACCAAAGCCAAAGCCCTTGGGACCAAAGTTCTTTGCATAGCAACCTGTAAATAAAATTACAGGAAATGTGAAATGCTGTGTGTGATGTAAAGGTTTTATTTACAAAGTCTTGCATTCAGAGAGAGACAATTTCAAATGAAAAACCAACTTTAAGCATGTGATTGCAGACCAAAGCTAGAATTTTGAGGCTTATACAGATGTTAATAGTTAATGTAATATTAACAGGTGACAATATACCAGAGGAAAAAATAAAAGTTTCATATCTATATTTATTTATGTAGCTGCAAGGGTGCCTTTTAATTTCCTTGTTTACAAATTTAAGCTGAGCTATAGGACAGATGCAGCGCCCTCCATAGTTATTGGCATTATTGGTTAAGATGTGTTAAAAGCCTTAAAATAAATTCAATTTTTATTGCAGAAGCATCCTCTCACACTGAAAATTGTAGAAAAATGTAACCTTCAACTCAACTCGAATGAATTGTTGGCAAAAGGGGGTTGTAGAAAGTATTAACATCAAGGGTGCTGATAATTGTGGCACACATGATTTGATGTAAAAGAATTATTTTTTAATGTGGGATTTTTTTTCACACTGAATAAATGCACTTGAATTAAAGGTTGAATTTTCCTCTTTTTTTCATTGTGGTCCTATATTATTTAGAAAAAAACTGAATTTACTAGAAGCTAAAGAGCACATCTTAGCCATGGGGTGCCAATAATTATGGAAGGCGCTGTATGTGTGGGGCTTTTTACAGTTAATAAACTTGTCTGTTCTCTCTAATAGATATTAATAAATTATTTATAATAAATTATTTATTAAATAATAAATATTTTTGGCTGGTAATTAACAAGAATATGTTCACCTCCAGTACATAGTTAATTACCAGCCAAAAATATTTACAGCTTCTGTAAAGTGTCTGACATTTTACAATAAAATGTCTGGCCCAAAAAAATGCTTGTCTGTCTTGGGTGGAGGGATGCTGTATGTACCTTTCTCTGCCGTAAAAAGAAAACCAAACCTTTTGTTGCATGTTTTCACAGTATGCAAATTGGTGATAAACAAATGAATCAGTCTATTGGATTGACCTAATGGATTTACTGGTCAAACTTTATTTAGAATAATCAACTAAAACATAAAATGGAAATACATTAATCTTGTTCAAATATAAATAAAAATATACCAAATGGCAAAAGGTCAGAAGCTGCTGACCTACTGAACCTCCACCTAAAGTAAATTCACTGTTTCTACTCTGCATGTAACTCAACCAGTGAGATCAACTAAACACAATTGATGCTGAATATCCCAAACAAAGATACTGAAATAACTACAGTTTACTTTGCTTTGTTTGTTTGACAAATATTACAAATTGTTTCTACTAATTTCTATTAGTGATGTAGTTTTGGTACGAGGGCTGCAATATATCATTACTTTGATGATCAGTTAATATGATGATTATTTTTCTCAGTTAACTTTGGGTTTGAAAAATCATTACTACATGTTCTTAAATCCCAATCTGATGTTTCAAAATCCTCATATATTCACTTTACTATCGCATGAGAAAGAAATATTAGCAGATCCTCTTTTTTAAGGAGTCCGAAGTAGGGAATGTTGTGCATTTTTCTTGAAAAAACGGCTTAAACAATCCAATTTTGTGCCCGTTAACTAGTTTTAACAGATTCTCTTTAGTTAAATTTGAGAGCACAGACCTTTACAGTAGATCTCTCCGTCTCTATCAGCGAGGGTTGTGGACTCCAGTCCTTTGCCACATTTGGCACAACGAAAGCAGCTCTTGTGCCATGACTGATGACAGAGAAAAGAATTTGCATCAGCAGAGTGCTAAAACAAAATAAACCCTGTAATACAATGTATAATACAAACTCAGATATCAGTTTTGATGTTCCTTACGTTGCCTCCGCCGATAACCTTCTCGGCTGCGTACACAGTTTTCCCACATCGAGGACACACTTCTGAGCTTCCTGGTCTGTTGGCAAACTTCTGGGCATTGCGGTAATATGTAGGGCGATAAGGAACATATCTGTCGAGAAAAAAGTTTTATATTTGCTTTATATGGCGATAAAATCAACTGTTGGAGGTCACAGAATTGTTTAAGTACTATAAAAACATAGCTTTTTTTCATGTTTCTAACTGCTTCATCCCTTATTTTGAAACTTGATATCCAGCACTTGCAAAGGTTATGTTCTTTACTAGACAAAATGCAAAATTTAAACACAAGTGGACTATTCTTTGTTATTCTTTGAGCTGAATATAATGTAGAGGACCCAGTATGCAGCTGAATACCATCCCAGAAGTTTAAATAATAGGAGGAAATGATGCTTTTCCTACTCTTCAGGCTTGATCCCAAGTCCCTCTCCCGTGTCCATGCTCAGGATGCCGGCTCCTCCTCCGTAGCCGTAGCCTTTTGGCCCGTATTTCTTGCCGTAGCATGATTTGCAGTAGATCTCATCCACATGAACAGCCACTGTTGTGCTGTCTAAGTTCTTCTTACAGACCACTTACAAAGAGAATAAAGCAAGAAAAAAACAATTATTAAATAGTTTTGTCATCTCTTAAGCTTTTACAGTCAACAAGATGAGCTCATCCTTTTAAAAACCCTTTTAAAATCCTTGGAATTTTTTTTCTTTTTCAAATGTTGAGCTGTGACATGACCACAAACTATGTCAGACAGAAGCTGGCCAGTATAAATACTTGTCTGGCTTTGGTACCTTCCCTGTATGTACCTTCCTCTGCCATAAAAGGAAGACCCAACAATCGTCACGTGTTTTCACCGGATCCAAATAAGGAGTGAGATGTCTGAGTGAAAACCTGCGGATGCTCGCTTTCCTACCCTGCCAAATGCTCCACATTCCTCTCTGGTGCTTCCTGTGATTTAAAGGAGTCCGTTAACAAACACAGTGGTACCTGAGAATTTCAATACTCACTGCACAGAAAACAGGACTTATGCCAGCTCTTCCCCTCACACTGCACTTCTTCAGCAAAGTAGACAGTTTTCTGGCAGCAGCCGCACTTGTTTCCTCCTCCAAAAGGCATTCTGCGCACACACACACACACACACACACACACACACACACACACACACACACAGGACAGCCGCTTGTGTACATTTTTCATTTACTGTATTTATAACATTCAGAACAGTGTTGGTCAGCAGACAGAGGCCATCTGCAACACTTGAGGCTTGATACAACAATATCTATAAAAGGAGAAAGCACCGGTTTGCTGTGCTCTTTCTTTCCCTCCTCTGGTTGTAGTCTGCCGGCTTTAGCAGATAGCTGCTGTTCAGACCTGGTTGTAAAATGCAAAATACCTGCTAACATGGCACACAGATAAAAGGACTGTGTATACACGGCAGCTAAATGTTAAAACTTCTGTTCAGCGTGTTTTAATGTCAACTGCATCGTTTGAAACATGCTGGCCTGCAGTTGTCATATTAAAGGAATAATCTACTAGATCTGCTCTGGATAAACAGGAAATTCCCTTCATTATGTTTGGGAGTCACACATTCACTCTGAACTCAGGCAAACCAACAAAGTATGATGCAGGTCTGATGAGTTTTCTAAATATAGTTAGTGAATTCATCTTCACCATAAATAAAACTTTCTCTTAAGTGAAGCCTGATTTCCAGTTCTGTGTGTGGTGAAGTTCGCCTAAGAGTGTTTTTAAATGTAAAGCTTCTCTTGGCAGAGCAGTGGCGGAGTTATTTCCTATCTGATGCCTTTCCTACTGATGCTCAGGAAGATGTTTGCAGCACAAACCCCTCCTAGACAACAATATTTACTCACTTTAAACGTCGGCCTTTTAACTGTATGGTAACCTGCACTGGAGTAGCTTGTTGATTAAAACTAACTTTTTCCAATTTAAATCATTCCTGTAACTTTAACAGCTAAAATTCCAAAAATAGCAGTTTATTTTATTTAAAAAAAAAAGAATAAAAAGCTTTATCACTGCACAGAGTAGACTACTGCTCAACCTGACTCTTCAACTCGACCAGTCAACTTGACTCTTACCTGAGACGGGCGACAGGTGACGGGCTGCTCCTTCCTCCGGCTGTTTGATGAAACTACGATGACTGACTTGAGAGGAGACACTTGTCTAATGAAGTGAAGCAGAGGGAGGCTGAACTGAGGGAGGAGTCTGGACAGAGACACAGAGGGTGAGAGATGCAGGGAGGAAAAACCAGGAGAGAGATAGTGAGAGTAGTTATTGACAGATGAGGAGGGTGTGGGGAGAGACGATGATAAAGAGTCACTGTCTGCATGTGTCTTCAACTGTCTCGTTGAGTAAAAAACATCCAGAAAACTCTCAGAATTAGATGTTACAAGCAACAGATGGATGGTGACATTTCACTGTTAAAATTCAAGGTGATTCTCCACACTGGCGACCCCAAATGGTAAAAAGAGGGAACTGTAAATCTAAAGTTGATTAATCCAGCTTTCTCTCCATTTAGGATGACTCATAGTTTTACATTTAGTTCTGAAAGCTCACATTGTTTAAATGTATCTACATCCATATAGCATCAAGACATTTCAAACACAAAGGCAATTTAGAACAAGATTCAAAAAACAAAGGCAATGCAAACTAGAAAAATAATCAATTAAGACAGAATAAGTGAGATGAAAACACTTCAAAGAGCTGCACCGTAGCACCATTACAGTGCAGTAATAAGTTGCTCCAGTGCAACCGCAGAAATAAGGGTGCAGTAGAGACATCCGTCAATCAGAGGCGTAGGAGAACAGAGTTTTTAATTTAGATTTGAGATTTGGCAGGAGCTGTGGCCCATTTGAGATAGTCAGGAAGTTGGTTCCATCTGCATCCCACGTGGGAGCTGAAAGCAGCTTCAACACTGTTTGCTTCTGAATTGAGGCATGATCAGAGCCCTGCTGGGTTTATATTTAGTTTTCAAGGAGAAAGAATGACATGAGCAGGAACTACAGCATGTGTACATCTGTATTTATCTATAGATATATATATATATACAGACACACATCTATTGAGCTATGTATGTCTAGATCTGTATATATCTGGATATAAAGAGATGTTAAAGTGTATGTTGTAGTTGTAACCCACACTAAGTCTATATTTTACTTCATTTTCTGCAGAGCATTTCAGCATCTTTCAGCTAATTGTTTAGGGTTTAGGGTTAGTTTACTGTTTTGTTCACAGTGAAAAAAGCTCTAAAAATGTACGACCTGCCCTGCACCAAATTGTACAGACAGACAAAAAAAACCAACCAAACAAAACAATGTGATTACTGTGTGGTGAACATAGTGGAGCATTCAGCAACAAACTGACCTAATGTCTTTCAGTAGTTGGTATGGCCTAAAATAATAAAATAAAAGAGTCAATTATGGAAATTAGGAAGGCAAATCTAAATGATTGATGCTGGATGTTTAAAAAGCCGACTGTTGCCATCACCATAAAAACTTAAGGGTGAAAAAATATCACAAGTCAGAGACCAATAAAGAAATCAAAGCGGATTCAAATGATTATATGCAACATTTACAAATCTTTTACAAATAACTACATCCATCTTTTTGTATTGTTTGCTTCAGTGAACTGTCTTTGTTCCCTTTGTCTGCTCTTAAGCATGTGAAGCACATGACTGGTTAGACTGCGGTTGGATGACTGACTTGGCATGTCAAGAACATTCCAGTGTTTGGCACTAAAAACCGTCTTGGTTGTGTTTTTTATGACACTTTTTGTCGTCTTGCTGCATTGTTCAGAAACTGAGGGACCGTGAGAAAAAACAAGGGGCCACATGACCTTCAGTGTTTATACACTATGACTGTACTGTATATTTCGAATGGAAGAACTGAATGTGTTTTAAGCTGGAAACCAATCAGCTTCTTGTTGGATAGTTATACTTGTGACCGAGATTTCTGCTCTCAACCACGTATGGCATTTCATCATGATATTTCCTGCAGTGCATTTGCTATTTATCTGCAGGATATAGGTCCTGATGAAATTACTCTGTGTGCTGGATGAATGTATTCCCTGCGTCTGTCTCACAGCTGTAATAAAGGAGAGAGTGTTAGCTGCAGTGATATCAGATTGTCTGTAAATCTGTCTAGAGTAAGAGAAACACAGTGACCGCTGCCTTACAAGGAGTTTTTACCAAAGGCGTGGGATGGACCTTCTTTCTCGGTTGATTATTGTGTCCAAACACGTCTTGGTGGGTTTAAGGGAGTTCAAGTGTCAGACGGCAGTAGGTCAATCAGATATTTCTCTCCAGTCATGTTTACTTGACACCTATTTTGCTTGTGTCTGAACTGGATTTAATTAGCTGGTAGGTATTGGCATCACTTTGTCAGTATTTGAATACTTGATGGATAACAACTATTGATTGGTTTATTTTGTATGATTTGTTGTTCATTTTTATTTTTATTTTTTAGGAATTCAGTGCGATAAATGTGATGCTCAGAACAACCTTAGGAACATTCATAAGGAAAGACGACCTGTTGATGTTTATCGTAAACCCTAATTTTCTTTTGTTTTTTATTTTTTTTATAATTTTATAAAGTAATGTTTCACAAAACGATTCTAGTGTTGAGCATAATTTTGCTGAAAGTCAAACATCTCTGTATTTGCATTCAGGCTTTACTACCAGCACCATTTACAGCTGTAACTAATAATTAGTTTCACTGATTAATCCATAGAATGTCAAAAAAAAAAGAGAGAAAAATATGTATTAAAGTTACTTGTTGCCAATCAATATGCATTTTACCACCATATGACAAAAGCAGCAAATCTTTTGAGAAGCTGGGATAAGTGCATTTTTTTGGCATTTTGGTTGAACAATTTTACAACAATTAATCTATTATAACTACAGGATAGTTGCAAATCAATATTTTCTCCACTGACTAATCAATTAATTGACTAGCTGTCGTATCTTTCTACTATTTTCTACAACACGGCAGGTTTAAAGGTTGTGTGTGTTTGTATGACCTAAATGACCTTTAAGAAAAAGGAAATTTATTGTTTCACTGATTTTTATATGATGATTTGCAAGCTTTTTTCTTTCCTCAAATAAACCATTCTACATCTTTAATTCCTTCATCCGGCCAGACGAGGACAAAAATAGATAAACATAATGCAACACAAGACGTATTGCAGCATGATGCAAATATTGCTTCAAAGTAACACCAAAGCAGTCCTCCCAAAAAAAATCTTGTCCAGGTTTTCTTTGAAGGTTCCATACTGAGGCTCCATGTCTTGCTTGAAATGCATTTATAAATCTGTGAAGAGGCACGAAAACAAAACAAGTCTGGGTCCATATACTGACCAATAAGTAAAATCAGTGACATCAATAACACATTGGGGACATAGAATAAATTAATATCACACAATTACAACATAAAAGGAGTTTCACATGTTCGTTCTAAACATATTAGAAATATTTTATTCTTAGTCTTTTATGTATATATAAAAATAAGGGCTTTGGGCTTTTTCTTTGTGGCAGATTTTATTTGGAAAGGTTAGAGATACCATACATTTGTGGTCATGTGAATACCAAACCATGTGAATCTATACATACAATATGTGAGTGTATAGGGTTTTTGTTGTTGTTGTTGTTGTTCTTATTGTCTACTATTATGTGTTTTTCATCATTTAAGATTTGTTTTTGTTTGGCTGTTGTTGATAATGATGATGATGATTATTGCTGATTATTAATTAAGTAAAGTGTTTTTTGCTTTCGTTCAGTTTTAGTTTTTTGCAGTGCCTTTAGCCTTTGGGCCTTCATAGTACACAATACAATATGCAAAGAACTGATACTGGTGGCATTCTGCTGGTGATCTTGTGAACTCTGACATTCAACAGTTGTGCAGGCAGACATTTACTGCCTTTCACGCTTTAGGACTAACATCACACATGTGACCTTTCGATTGTAAGAGACAGATGCATTGTCTGCCATAAATTCACACCAAATCAAAACACACAGCCCAATCTCTTAAAATTTGGAACACTTATTTCTTTTTTTTTTTTTGTCATTCAGTAAAAAACAAACAAACAAACAAAAAACAGCAACATGTATGCTGGCACTTCCAGCATGGTTTAGATGTCCTCCTACAAAAGAGGAGGATGAGGAAAGGTGAAACTGATAGGGAGATAGCAGTCGATATGAGGAGGGAAGTAAAAGCCAGCAGAGAGTGATGCCGCTTGGTGCGCCTTCCTCCCTCTCTCCGAGCCCTCCAGGCTCTTCACCATCATAGGAAGAGACAATGATGAACTCAAGAAGCCTATTTATAGCCTGCGATTGGCCAACACTAGCCCTCTGTTTCTGCTCTGTGGACATCCGCCTTGGCTAGTTGTGGAAGAGTGTGTGCACATGTGATCATGCTCGTGGCAGAGAGGGAGACGAGAGGAAGAGAGGGGTGGATTGACAGAGACTCAATGGATTAATCCAGAGAAAGAGGAGAGGATAAGAGGCAAAGCGAGATAAGAGGCAGGGACGGGGCTGGGCTCCGGTCCATCCATCAGTGTGCAGAGGAGTGGTGCTTTCTCGTTGAAAGTCTCATGGAGGAATCCAGCTCTGTCTTTTTTTTTTTTTTTAAATATTTGACCTGACTTAAAGCCAGGACTCCTCCCCTGCTTACGGTCATCCTTTTGGCAACATTTTCCACAGAAGCTCTGCCAACTTATCAGGTGAGGAAGAGCTGGAAGAGGTGAGCTGACCTCACGCTGAGAATGTGTTTGTGTATTTGGCTTTTTGTGTGTGTGTGTTTGCACTGTTTAGTGTGTTTGCTCTGGTGTGTTTTATCTTTGTAGTGTTTAGTGTTGAATCCACTGTGACTCATGTTCATACTTGGGTTCATGCTGCGTGTTGCTTCTGCCAAAGTAATCTCATGTTATCTCATTTTCCAGTTTTTAGCTTGAATGTTTTCATTTGTGTTTTTAACTTTACTACATCAATGAGTTGATAAAAAATAATGGCACCTATTTTGCAAACCTAGTAAGCTATTTTTAAGCAAAAATGACCAAACTTCACAGGTTCCTCTAATATGAATATTTTCTACCTTTAGATTGCAGACTTGAACAAAACAAGACATTTTAATCCGTCAGTTTGACCTTTTAGAAATTGTGATGGCTAAC